ATAGAAGAAAGTATTCTTGCATTGAGGGAGTACTTGAGTGGAGGCCCAATGTCCTTCTGCTACCTTAATACTAAACCTATAAATATAGGCACATAGATCTGATTAGCAGCCAGATGCTTAACCATTTGTGCCACCAGGGCACCTTGTTTTTACTTACAGAGAAAACAGACGTCAAAGAAAGTAGATGTAGGTTTTACTACTGTAGGCCAAGCAAAATGTAGATAGTGCAAGAGTCGTGTGTTACCTGACCATTCTTAGTGTAGCCGTCCCTATAGCTAGTCTGATAGGTACGTTTTTATAAATGCAATTCAGGAATCCAGTTCATCTAACTCTTAGTGTTTACGTACACAGCTTTGGTACTCATGATTAAAAAACAACTTACTAAAATTTTTCTGTATATGGATGCAGTGTTTTTCATTTGTAAAAAAGAAAAGAAACAGCTATAAATCATTTGATGGCAGTGATGAGTTATTTTACAGTTGACTTGGTGGCAATGAGTATGGTTTTTGGCTTTTATAGTCTCCAGATTCCCTCTAAAAATTTGTATGAGTTGTAAAGTTGTTGTTCCTATTGTCTTTAATGCACCAACTTGGTGTACTTTAGGAGTTGGGGAAAATGATGTGCTATTTATATTATCAATCTTAGGTTAGGGGACTTCTTATTCATGAACTATTTTTGAAATGACTCTTCAAAGAAAGTAAAGAGCTTTTCTTAAACTTTATTTTCATAGGAAAATATTTTATTGGTAAATTCCAGGACATTCTTAAAAACTGTATTTATCTTATACACAGACCTCTTAATAAAAGCTATCTTGAAGTGGTACGATCAGTATTCTTATCTTCAACTTCTTCTGCGACTGGAACTGGTAGAAAACGCACACTCAAGGACTTGCAAGAAGAAGTTTCAAACCTGTACAATAATATTAGATTGTTTGAAAAAGGGATGAAATTGTTTGCAGGTATATGTTATACTATTTTTAAAATTGATTTGCATCATTCTTAAGAATTATTTTTAATAAAGTATCCTTGCTTTACAGAGGAAACACAGGCTGCCCTCACTAAGCACTTGCTGAAGACAATCTGTACTGATATCACTAACCTCATTTTCAACTTCTTAGCTTCGGATTTAATGATGGCAGTAGACGATCCTGCAACCATTACAAGTGAAGTATGTTACGGATGTTCTTGTCACTCTTGATGTGTTTTGTTTTGAAATATGAGCATGTTTTGTTTTTCTCACATTTGAAATAGTGAAAAAAGGAAAGTATGGAAAAGATTTTTAGTTTTCTTCAGTTTAAGTATACTGTCTATAGAGATGCTAGCAGGACTGGTAAAATAACCAGTTTATTAAAATGATGCTGATTTCTTGGGAATAAACAGTTTCATATTTTTTCTTAATTATATCACAGTTCTTGTTTATTGCTGATTGCAGTTCTCTTTACAATATTTTGGCCAGATTCCTAACTTTGCAGTAATTTCCAAGTAGTAATACTATCTCCTTATTTAGACTTAGTTCCAATTCATTCTTTAAAATTTTAATCTCACAGTGAATTCAGAGCTCATCTCTAATACTTTTACGTTCTAACTTAAACTGTTTCAGTCACTTAAAGTTTTGGTCTGTCCTAAGTGGTGTCTTAGGATGACAATGACGATTCCTTCTCCTTTTCCCCCTCCAGTGTCTTCTCAGTCTTTCTAAGGCTGGGGATATTGAAAAAAATTAAGGAAACAAAAATATTTTCATGTAACTAGCTAGATATCAAGGAGTCCTGGTAGCATAGTGGTGTGTTGAGCTGCTAACCTCAAGGTTGGCAGTTTGAAACCACCAGCAGATCAGTGCTGGAAAGATGAGGCCTTCTACTTCCATAAAGAGTTACAGTTCCAGAAAACCACAGCATTTCTACCCTGTTCTATCTGGTCACTGTGAGTCAGCATTGACTTGATAGCAGTGAGTTTGGGTTTTAGTTGTTTTGTATGGTTGGTTGGGGGTTGTTATGTTTTTTTTTGGGGGGGGGCTGTTGGGGAAGGGGGAGCAGGTTATCATTACCCTTGATCCTAGGTCAAGTCACGTAAGTCTCGGGCCTCAGCTATGGTATCTGCTGATGTGACATGTACTACATCAGTGGTATAGGTTGTTTGGGTTTTTTTGCATATTGAGTTTCACATGATTTTCATAGTGGGAACCACTCTCCAATCCCCCAGATACTTTATGCCAGCAAAGTACTGGAGCCTTTTCTTCTTCTGGATTGAGAAGTAAATCCCCACTTCCTCCACATTTCCCTGTGTCCTACTCCTGGGTAAGCCTTGTTATAGGGACTACTATATCAAATTGTCTGCCACGCTTTACAAGGACCCCAGGATTGATGTGGGATGGGAGCAGGTAAATAGTAGTTATCCACCCTTCGCCCATCTCTCCATTTCAGCAGCTTCTTCCTTTGGAAATTTTCCACGGGAAGCAGTAAATGGACTCTGGTCAAGAGTGTCACCAAACTTCAGTGTATGAGGAGAAGGATGTTGAAAAGGCTCCACGAGCCATACGGAAGTATAAACATCCAGCCGTGGAACAGAAACCCGCTGTCCTGACAGGCTTCCCTGATCTGTGTGTGTAGGGCCCCTCCCCTGGCACTGGGGAGGAACGCACTCTTCTTCCCCACCCCGTAGAAAGGAAAAGCCAGCCTTTTCCTCCAAATCCTGTACTTCCCGCAAGGTCAGGGCCCTCGAGGCATCAGCTTACATTGTTTGAGGCGGTCGGAGGCCGAGGTCTGCATCTGGCCCAGTCTATTGGTTTACCTTTCTGTTCTTAAGTTTCTAGCATTTTTTTTCTAGCATGTATTTGTTCCTAGTTTGATGTGTAAAATCCACATTAAGGATATGTTCCATTCAGCATTCTATTACAGTAATACGTTTTGGGGTTTTTTCTTGATCTTGTATCCATTGCATGTCATCAGCAGTACAGTGCCAAAGTTGATTGTTTTTATTTTTACAGGTAAGAAAAAAGATTTTAAGTAAATTATCAGAAGAAACCAAAGTAGCACTCACAAAACTTCATAACTCTCTGAATGAAAAGGTAAGTAAAGGTTGGTTCTATTTAGATATCGTGAGAATGATTGTAAACCCTACCCAAACTTGCATTCTTCACTGAGATAACTACGTGAGAGGCAAAGGGAAAAACGAAGCTGGGACACGTTGCCTTCTTGAGTCCTAAATTACAAGATGTGATGGATGACCGAGAGACCTTTAAATATATACGCGTGTGCATTTACAGGGTTAAAAAGTAAAACCACTCACTCACATAATCAAAAAGCATTAGATGGCGAAGTTGCTTTGGCAATAGTGTAAAGTAGTAAACTGTGGTATTTAATGCCTTTTCAGAGCATAGAAGACTTTCTTGCTTGTCTGGATTCTGCAGCAGAAATTTGTGATATTATGGTGAAAAAGGGAGACAAAAAAAGAGAAAGGTAATATTGTGTTTAATATTCAAAGGCCTTCAAAATGTACTTGGAAAAATCCCATTATCTTCTATTTCCATTTTTACGTGAATGTTTTGAAGCTCTCTCATTGTTAGTTGTCTTTTCATCTTTTTCAACTTACAGTGACCCCATATGTGCAAAGGGGAACTGCTTTATAAGCTGTTCGGGTCTGGGACGTTTCAGAAGCAGATGGCCAGGCCTGTCTTCCAAGACACCTGAGAAGTAGATTCTGTCAACCTTTTAACATAGAGTCCAAACTTAGCTGTGTGTCACCCGGGACTACGAAACTAGTAGACATTACTAATGAATTTGTAAACGTGTGCCCTTTTGTATACAAAATTTGAATTTGACTATGGATTTTAGATGGAGAACTATTGAATCTAAATGGCTCTAGGCCTTTAAGCATATTCAAAGTTTTAAAACACTTAGGTGTCTGAATTGGTACGTACTAGAATCCCTTAATCCTGGAGTTGATCTAGACGAGGAACTTCTCATTCACCTTGGGGTCTTCTGTACTATGTAAAGAATCAATGCAGACGTATTTGAGCTCTGTCCATTCAAAGAACTATCCTTGCTCTACAGCTTTGTGTATCGTTTTCTAGCATTACTAGTTCATGAAGTTTTGGGGTCGTATGTGTGTATGTCCCATATTTAAAATGTCCTTTACAGTGTTTGTGGAAGTAGTTAATAAAAGTACAGCTGAAGAATATAGGGGGGAGAAGGGAATTCTTGAGAATCTCATACTAACGCATTTCTGTGGATGTGTTTTGTGTAGACAGATACTGTTCCAACACCGACAAGCACTGGCAGAGCAGCTAAAAGTCTCAGATGACCCAGCTCTTATTCTGCACCTCACGTCAGTCTTGTTGTTTCAGTTCGTAACTCACAGCATGCTCCATGCACCTGGAAGATGCGTTCCACAGATCATTGCTTTCCTGAACAGTAAAATTCCAGAGGTAATTACATTGTCAGTACACTAGAAACCTTTAAAGCTTTTCGATGTGGAATAGTGTGAATCACTGTGTATACTCACTGTCTCCAAAATTGCCAGCAACAAACTAGAGCATTGAATTTAAAACCTGAGCAAAACTGAAGTCTTTGGGGATCCTGTGAAACATAAGGTAGAGTATTCTGAAATGGGAACGTAAAAGACATATTCTAAAATGGGAATGGAAAAGACACAAGAATATCAGGTCTTCCATTTGATCGTGCAGTATTAGCTTACTCCGGCTGTACTCTACCTCCAAGGAGGAGCTCAAAAGTCTTGTCCTGTGTTTTTGATGACAGCACCTAGCTGAGCTTGCAGTGAAGTGATCAGTATTGGTGTTTTCTGCCTCCTAAAGGGCATACTGTATGAGAGCAGAGACACTGCCAGATTGGCTCTTTTTTTGAGGGTAAGTTAAAAAAAACACTGCTACAAAAGCATAGAAACCTTTATTTAAAATAGATGTATATATCAAACGAGAAGCTATTGTTTCTCAATATAGTCTCCATCTAGGCCTGTACCCTCTAAAGGCAGCGTTTCCATAGCTCTAACCCTTCCCTGAAGAACTCTGCACTCTTTAATACACTCTACAGCAAAATGATAATTTGGGCATCCTTGAAGGACTTAAATTGTTCGTTGAATTGGGGAATAGAAAGGTAAGACTTGAGGAGGGTAAGAATTGTTTGGTTTTTTTTTAAACTATTTTATTGGGGGCTCATACAACTCTTATCACAGTCCATACATTATACATCCATTGTGTCAGGCACATTTGTACATTTGTTGGTATCAGCTCCTCGTTTTTCCCCCTTGCTCCCATACCCTCCCTCACGAACTTTAAGAATTGTTCTTCAAATGTTCCTTGAACTTGGGGAACCGAAGGAAATCTGAAGAGTCAGTAGATTGATAGGGTAATGTTTCCCAGTGAAATCCTCATAGAACAGCCTCTGCTACCATCAACGAATGAGCAGGTACATGGATGTTATGGATACATTCCTCTTCCATCCAATAGAGTGTTGAGAGAGGCCATAGAAGCAGCCATTGTAATGACCACACAGAACGCAGAGACAATATGTATGATTAAGGGGTTTATTTAGGAAGTTAACAGTTTGTAGTGCAAGTGAAAAATGCTCAGGACACAGTTGTTCTTCAGGACATGTTACGGAGTTCTTTCAGGGCTGCTAATACCCAAGGGATATGCCACTCCACTGCAGGCCTCAACCTCAAGCTCCAGCTGCCAGTGAACCCAGCTCCCGAATGAAGTGTCTACAGGCACCCTACTCCAATAAGCCACAACCTGAAGGCACTCAGCTTCACCTCCATGGGTCAGCAAGCCCAATTCCTACGATTAGTGCCCAGAGACACCCTGTGCCACAGCCAGCCTCCTGTCCAAAAACGCTCAGCTTTATTTGCTCTGGGTTGGGTCCATCATGTGTTTTATGTTCTGGTTCCTGGTTCTACTGCTGCCCCTTTGATGCCACAGCTGTCTTCTAGATCAAGGAGAGTTACTGTGCAGGGCTCTCGTGGTCCAAAGGATAAGCTCCACTCCTGGCTCTTGCTGGTAATGAGAAATCTCCCCTGCTGTTTCAAAGAGGGCTCATTTTATAATCAGCAGATTGCTAATCAATGATTCCTGTTAGCAGTTACTCGTAGGTGAGTCCTACCTGTATCTTTCCCCACCTTCATACCCAGGAAAAGGTCGTTGGGTTGGAGTTACAGAGACTGGCTGGAAAAACAGCATTAAATAATGCACTGCATGTGCAGGTCTCCCCTGCCCCTTTCAAACATGAAGGACTAAGTGCTCTGCTTTTACCTCTGCTGGCCTTTTGTCATCAATGCTATCGTAAATTTCTTTGGAATCAGTCCCCATGGATGTCCTTTGTCCTTTGAGAAAACTTGCCAAGGTGACACATTTGTAATCCAAAACACTCTTCATCACTGCACAGCTCATCTCTGCCTTGAGTGCAGCTGAAGCAGGGGGTCCCCTTGGAAACCGCTCTTTTGATTGGACCTGTCTTTTGAAGGCACCCTAATGAGACTAAGAAAAGTGTACTAAGAACTGGTGTGTACCCCTGCACTGATTGTAGAAACAAGTTTAAACACATTTTTTTTTGGAACAAACATATCCATGTATTCTTTGGGAACCTGGTAGAAGTACTTTTTAACTTAACCCTTGTATTTATATGACCAGTGTAAAGATGAGGAACCTCAGTGTCAACTGCCTGAACAAATCTTTCTGTAATCATTATGTCCTTCAGAAAATACATTGTATTTGTTAACTTTTCAACTCTCTTTTCACAGGATCAGCATGCTCTTTTGGTAAAGTATCAAGGTTTGGTTGTAAAGCAGTTGGTCAGTCAGAGTAAGAAAGGTGGGCAAGGAGATGACCCCTCAAGTGAGGAGCTGTCCAAAGAACAAGAAGACACCACCAGTAGCACTCGTAAAGAGCTCCAGGAACTTTCTCCGTCCATTAAAGACCTTGTTCTCAAATCCAGAAAGTCTTCTGTCACAGAGGAGTAATGACCTTAATTGACTTGTGTAGTAAGCATTTTCCACAAAGCTAACTCTGAGTGGTTAAAAAAAAAATCAGTTCACAAATCTTTATCCCCTGTAACACCCCTTCTCTCCCCCCAAAATTCAGGTAAAAGTTGAAATTTTGTATATTGAACTTTCCACGAGGACCCTCCTGTCCACGTTATAATTTTTAAATTATACAGTTGGGGTTGATTTTCTTTCTAGATGTTGACTTAGAGAATAAAATTTCTGATATCTTTCATCCCTGGGAAAGGTCTCATTTGTTCTTTTACTGGGTTTCCTGTGGCAATCTTAGATTTATTCAGTTTAGGCAGGGATTTAAAATGTGCTTTTTATAAGAGGAAAAAGAGAAACCCCTTAGGTATTCAAAGGAGTGCTTTGACCACAGATATTTGTACTCTTGTTTTATTATGAAGCCCTTGTCCTTTATGCTGGTAGTCAGAGGGAACACATTTTCCCACAAGAGAAAACTTCCATGGGACTTAGTCTGGGAGACCATGCTTTTATAGGTGTAGAGCACCAGCAAGCCATGCTTACTGTGTAATATCTATTCTGATCAAACTGCTAACAAGAATGAGAGAAAATAAGAATTCATTGAGAGAGGACACTGGCTATAAGTCCATTTTAGCATTGAAATTGGATTTTTCTGTAGTCAACTTTGTTTGCATTTCTAATTTCAAGCCAATTCATTACTTACCAAAGGAGGAACTTGTTTTAAGTATATTACAAAAGCAAATCTCAAAAACTGAAAAATGCTGTTTTGCGTAGTTCCTTATGTCATTTAAAACTTTGTATTAGGATATTTGGAGCTACTTCTTGTGTTGTTTTAAAGTATTCTGGTGGGGAATAAAATTTGCTGAGTAAGCATCATTATCAACACTAAGATAAACACTACATCCTAGCGAGCCTGTAGAACTGCTCTTGTCCTGTGAGGTTTTGAGACTGTTTATGGGCGTAGGAAGCTCCGTTTTTATCTGGTGGTCTTGAACTGTGGACCTGTGGATCACAGCCCAAGCAGAAGCACTGCCACCAGAGCTCCTGTCAACACTAACAGAAACATTAAGTAAGGAGTGCCTTCCCAAGGGTTCGTGTCTACATACATTCTCAGGTGGCCAAAGGAAGAAAACTACCAAATCCTCTGTGACCACAAATGCCAATTAGTTTTCTCTATTTTTATTCAGTTACCCAAATAGTGAACACCCAACTGAATTCACCCTTTAATAACTTTTACTATTTATAATGTGTCGGCAGATGCCAAAGTAACCTACAATTATGTAAAACAGCATGGGATGTCACTGTTCTAGAACATAGGAAACAAAGTAGGAGAGATGAAGAAGCAAAAAGGAAAGCATTCTGTTTTCATCTGTCGGCATCAAAGGTTTTGGGACTCTAGCACTGGTTCTCTCCCCTTTTCAGTCCCGGCACTCCTTTTCCACGTGGTTTGCGCACTTCCCTGAAACGGCCAGCTTCATCCCCAGCTCTCCTGCTTGGCTCCCTGCGCAGCCTGGCGTGCTTTCCAGAGAGAGCTCAGAGTGTACTTTGAGAGCGTACTGCCTGAAACTTCCTTTTCCCTCATGAAAGTTACTTTTGTAACACTTAACAAAATAACTTATTTTTCTACAGTAAAGAATAACTTTTACTGTTGGCTTTGTAAATAGAATTATATAACTGTAAAGCTTTAATAAAATTAAAATTGTTAAATATTTATGAAATTGATCAGAATTAAGAATGTTGTTTGTAATAAAATTGCCTTTTCTCTTAAATTTTATGCTACTTGGAAGCATCTATTATTTAAAGCAAGGATAAATTAATGTACAAATTATGTGTAATATATTCAAAATTCTCACTGAACATTATTAAAGGATTTTCCTTTATTTTTCTCATGGGCTACATAGATCTTTTGTTCCTTAAAAGTTTGTCACTCATGAGCCATGTCACGTTAGTAATTCATAGCTCAATTAGATAGATTTCAGCAAATAGCTACTCTTGATATTGTATTTATAGTAGAGATATTTTAAAATTATGCTTGGGCATTCATATTCATAATTTTTTAGGCTTTGTGTTTGAAAGAATGGGAAAATGCACTCCACTCCTGGCCATATAGGAAGGTCCTGTAAAGATTGGCACTTAATCATTTTATCGAACTCAGTATATTTGGAGAAAAGACCTTAATGCTCAATTAGAATAATAGAGGAAGAAGTTGCTTAACCCAAACAAGGAGCCATCTCTCAGAGAAACTGCTTTTCAGCCTCACAGGACAGCACCAAGCTGGAGGTCACTGTGCAGCCGCACGCCCAGTTCCGCCTGTCTGCCGATGAAGAAGGGACAAGCAGCTCTTTCCTCTGAGTTACTTGACCACAACCACGTGGGAAAGTTTCCATCAAAAACGAACCTGTGAATTAGTTGGTAGGTTGTGTGGAAAGTGTTTTTTTGCCGAAGACGGTAAAGCCCCAGCCTCCATGTGAAATGAGATGCTGGAATCCGGGCACTTCGATAGCCTACAGATGACTGGCAGCACCTTGACATACTAAGGAAACAACAAGAAATGGCCTTAGAGATTTCAAAACTAAAGACGAAAACCTTGTTCTTCAGGTTTTCAGAAATGGATGTTATCTCACGCAGGTCGCATAACAAGAAGGAACAAAAGTTTTTAGAGCTGTGGTGTCTGTCTCACCAGATCGGCCGCTCATTTCTCCTGTGGCCCTCTTCAGTGACAGTAGTAAGAGCCACGCCAGCTACCTGTTGTGAGGCACAGGAAGGAAAGGAGAAGGTTGATGGTATGAAGGGAGAAAGAGAGAATACAAGTCATGGGCCTCACAATTTTCTGAATCTGCTTACAACTAATACTCATTTTATTGGGGACTCTCAAGTATTACAATCCATAAATCAATTATATCAAGTGAACTTGTATATGTTGTTATCATCATTTTCAAAACATCCTACTTGAGCCCTTTGATAATAGCTCCTCATTCAAAATTATTTTAAATGCTTTGTTTTTGTGGAGATGATAATCCATATAGTTAAGTATAGTGTCTTGGTGAGAGGAAAGGATATACTGCTGAAGAGGAGAAAAAAAGATTGAGAATTTGTCGTTTATTTTTTAGTTCTTTTTGCTTTAGTTATATATAGAACAAAACCCGCTCTCACTGTCAGTGAGTAGATTGGCCCTATAGGACGGGGTGGAACTGGTTCCTGAGGGTTCCAAGGTTGTGAGAAGACTGCCTCCTCCTGTGGGACAGCTTCCGGGCTGGCCTTTTGGTTAGCGGTCCAACACTTAACCCAGTGCACAGGACTCCTGGACAGTATCAAACGCAAAACATGCCACTCCCAATCATTTCCACATGCACCTGGGTACAGATAATCCAGGACAGATAAACCCCTCAGGACCAATAATGAGAGTAGTGATACCAGGAAGGTAAGGGAAAGGTTGGGGGAGAAAGGGGAAACCAATCACAATAATCTACATATAACCCCCTCCCTGGGGGACAACAGAAAAGTGGATAAAGGGAGACATCGGTCAGTGAAGGACATGAAAAATAATTTACAAATTATCAAGGGTTCATGAGGGGGATGGGGGTGGGAAATGAGTTACCAAGGGCTCAAGTAGAAACTTGAAGATGATGGCAACAAATGTACAAATGTGCTTAACAACAATGGATGGATGTACGAATTGTGATGAGTCGCACGAGCCCCCAATAAAATGATTTTATTTTTTAAAAATCTATAAAAAAAAACTTGCCAGGCACCATCCAAAGCATGGCAACGGATTGCTATTCTGGAGGAACAGGAAGCAACATGAGGCATAGGAGGATGTAGAATGTGTGGCTAGCTGGTCATTGTGCATATGTATATCACACAGCTTTCACCAATTCAACTTCTCATGGGAGTGCAACTTAACAGCCATTACAGTGCAGCCCAACCCTTATTCAATGTGATTTTCCCTTCCTTCCCACCTCTGGTAAGCACTCGTAAACTGCTTTTTCTTTGTCCGTCCATACGTGACATTTCACTCACCATAATTCTTCAAGCACCCTCCATATTGTAACATCAAATTTTTGTTTATCCTACACTGACTAATATTCCACTCCATTTATGTACCACACTTTGTTTATCCACTCATCTGTGGATGAACATTGACATTATTGCTACCCTTTACCTCCTGAGCGGAGTGCAGCAATGAACACTGATGTGAGTCTGAGTCTTGATGCTGTCTCTCAAGTAAGACTTTCTACTTTGTGTTATTCTATCTCCCACAGCACCCTGTGCTTTCCAGCTCGCTTCTATAAGATTGCAAGGGCACACAGAACTCACAGACAATGGTCACGATTATGAAGTTCATTACGGAAGTTAAGTTAAAATTCAAATGAGGAATGTTCAGGATATGGTTGTTCAGTCAGGACATGTTATAAAGTTCTCTTAGGACTGCTAATAAATGCCCAAGAGGGCATGCCACTCTGAAGTAAGCCTCAATCCAAAGACACTCGTCAGTCACCCCGCTCCCTGAATTAAGTACACACAGGCACCCCACTCCAGTCACCATCAACCCACAGACATTCAGCTCTCGCTTCGTGGGTCAGGACACCCACCTTCCCAAATGAAGTGCCCAGAGAGATCCCATTCCACAACCCAGCTTCCCGCACCAAAGCGCTCAGCTTTACTTGCTTTGTGGGAAGTCCACTGCTCTGCTGCTTCTGCTCCTCTGCCATTCCTCTGGTGTCAAAGCTGTCTCTGGATCAAAGAGGTTCACTGCACAGGGATCTTGGGGTCTGGAGGATGCCCTCTACTCCTGGCTCTTGCTAGTGTGAGATTCCTGCTTCTGGGATGACTCGTGTTATACCCAGCAACATGGCAGTACAGCTGAATCGTTCAATACAATCAGAACCTTCCTCTATCTTCTTACCCAGGGAAATGTCATATAAACCATGAGTTCTTCTTGCCTAAGGAAATTTCAATAACCCAGGGAGATCTTACCCAGGGAAATGCCTATGCCCCAGGGACTTACAGCGACTATGACTAGACAAGCTGTATGACAGAATTCACTGCCCTGCACTTGACTTTCAAGTTTCACGGGTATATCACTGGGCGCGGACTTGCTAGGTGCCATGGTTAAAAAGCTTGGCTGGTAACTGAAATGTCAGTGGTTTAAATCCAGGGGGGAAAGATGTGGCTGTTGCCTTCAAGAATGATTTCAAGCCTTGGAAAACCTATGAATAGTTCTACTCTGTCCTATTGAGTACCAGTAAGTCAGAATTGACTCAGTGGCAATGTTCTATTTTCAGGTTTTTTGAGGAAATGCCACACTTTCCCACAATGACTATCATTCTGCATTCCCACCAGCAACAGATCAAGCTCCAGTTTCCCGCATACCAGCATGTGTTAATTTTGTTTGGTATTTCTTTAGTTTGAACCATCCTCAAAATCCCAAAGCCATTGTCAAGTCAATTCCAAGTGACTGTGAGAGAGTAGAACTGCCTCTGTGCAGAAGCAAATGGCTCACTGAGGGCTCACTGGCTTCTCGGTCTCCAAGAGCTTAGTCGCTGCTCCGTGGAGACTTGAGAGTGAAATGCTATCGCATGTGCATCTCGGATCGCTAAGGATGTGGAGCTGTTTGTCTGTTTGTTTCCTTTCTAGTGTTTGGTGGCCATTTGAATGTCCTCTTTGGTGAACTGTTCTTTGATGATTTTTTCATTAGGCTATTTGTCTTTCTGTTGTCATCAAAGTTTCATATTTAGTTTCGTTAACTGGTTTCTTATCAGATATGTGGCTTCCAAAGATATTTTCCCAGTCAGTAGGTTGTCTTCACTTTTGAAAATAATCTCTAGTGAACAGTTGTTTTCACTGTTGTGACGTTTCGTGTCTTTACTTTGCCTTTGCTGTCGGGGATTTTATCACAATCAGTCATACCTCGAGGAAGGGGATTGAACTGGCTGAAGATGACGCCTTGACGTCTAAGTCCGGAGAGACAAGAAGCTTTAGCCTGATGACAGAGGGCGGAGAGGAGACACAAGCACACAGGCAGGCGGCAATCGCATTCATGAGACGTTGGGGAACATTGGTGGATAATCAGGAAATGGCATCTGGGACAGTAGCGCCAGATGACACTGCTGAAAGCAGCGGAGAACCATGAAAATGCTATGTGTGGCGCTTACAAGTTTCACTGTGACCTGTAGGGGTGGGGGAATCAAGGAAGGCTAGCAAGAGAAGCTTTTAAAAGGTAAACATTTACAAGGATAGTACAGTGAGCAGATGGATCCTTTAGAGAGATCATTTCTATTTAGGAAGTCAATAACCAAAGCCTTTTAAACGTATTTTTAATGTATTAAATAAAAGTATATTTTGTTTTTCTGAGAAATGGACTGTAGACTTAAAGATGTGTGCAAGTCTTGTTTTCCCAGCCGATAGCAGAAAAGGACCATATACATGTGTCTGTCCCAGAGGAGGTGTCTTCTTGGTTCTGAAGCACTTTATTTGGATGCTAGCCAACCAAAGAAAACTGTTTATCTGACTTGTCAGGCTAAGCGGCTAAGATAAAAGTCCCCAGCAGAAATCTGATTATGCCCCCCCAATAAAGTCAAGGTTTTCTCTCTTATTTCTTGTGAATCACTGTAAAGAAGCACAAACACATGGTCATTTTCCCCCCTTATGGGCCTGTCTTTAATCCTTTAAATCGCCTTGAACCTGTGAGTTCCATAGACTTCAGAGCTGGAGAATTGCCTGAAGACAGGATTGGTACAGGCCGCGTGGTCATGTGCATGTGGTGTTGGGTGCCGTCGAGTCGATGCTGACTCGCAGTGACCATGTGCACAGCAGAAGCAAGCACTGCCCGGTCCCGTGCCGTCCCTGTAACGGCGCTTGGTTCGAGCCCATCCACAGCCACTGTGTCAGTCCATGTTGTCCAAGGCCTCCCTTCTGCCGTTGCCTCGCTCCTTCACCAAGCATGGTGTAGGACCGAATAAATGTTATGTCTAAGTGAGTGTTTTACGTTTTTATGATCCATACATTATAAATGGTCAACTTAAATTCTGGCATCAAAGAAAACCATTAAGTCAGGGCACGGAGGAGGAATAAACACTATTCCTTTGTGTATTACATTGTTGCTATTCATAAACTTTTGAATATAATATTTTATTGTGATAGGAAACTACTAACAACATTAAGCAGCAAGATGCAGACCTACAAACAATATGAGCTTGGACTTGTAACTAAACAGTGAATAAATATGTAGTTATCTATACACATTCACATACAGATGTTTTCATGTGCAGATAAAGGCACCTATGAAATTCTGTAGAAATTTATGAAGATTTGGGCTGTGACTGTCCTTAAATCATCAGTCATTTTCACTTTCCTTTGTTTCTTTCATTCTTTTTCCAGAGGTTCTGCGAGAAGAATGTGTTTTGTAACGCGGTAAACTGCGGTTTTTCATGCTCTGTTGTTCACTCGTGCTCTCACTATTGAAGGAAGGGTGGAAGGGGCCCACGCTGAGGCAAATGCCAGTGTTCCGTGACTGGAACTTGTGAGTGCTACGGGAGCAGGGACGGCAGATGTGAAGGAGCATGTAACAGAGGAGATCCAGGAGAAGCCAGGGAGAGTACGGACAGAGGAGAATAAGTGAGAAAAAAAGAGGAATCTAAAGAGACTTGCTTTGGGGGATGCATGATGTGCCATGTCCCGAGTTAGGGAATATGGCTGCTGAACAAATTTGGGCAGGTGATAGGATGAAGTGGTGTATTGGGAGAACTGTTGGGTAGGTGTACAGGTATGGGAATCAGAGTGTATCACTGTTAGTTATGTTGTGAAGGAAACCCACAGGGTGCAGAGAATCTCCCGCCAAGAGTACAGAGACAGAAACTCTAGGCCAGAGTGACATGAACAACCGGAGAGAGGTAAATGTAGCGTACCACAAGGAGTAAATTCTGTTCCCAGTTGAATGCTTCTGTGTCCTTCCACTGAATCAGCATTTACTGTTGCTCATCACCAGATTTTCACTTTTCATAATACCTTAATCACCAAGACCAAACACATACTAAAGCATAGAGGTGATTGGCTCTGCATATTTCTAGGTTGGGTTCTTTGATTGTCTGAGTATACCTGAGTTTGACCTCAGAGAATAGCAAAAGCCATTGGTCGAAGTGCTGGCATCAAGGACAGTTTATGCTTCACCCTGAAATGATGAGTTAGAGCAAACTGTTTCTTCCCTCGACCCACTTGCCAAAGATAGGGTCATGCATGGCAATTCTAAGAGCTAATGCCCCCTATCTATTTGATGGTCAATGTGGGAATGCAATGAATTGAATTCTCCATTGAATTCCATTCTGAACTAGTTCAATAACTAGACACTTCTGCAGATCCAACTCTCGAACCATGCAGCCACTTTCCATGTTTTGAGTTGAAGATTTAAAAGACCAGAGGAGTCCATCCCTAAGTGAAGTCATACTGCCACAGGCGTGACCTAACAATTGCTGCCAGCTCACAGGGTAACGCGCAGGGCAGGAAGTGCTAAGTCCACACTGCAGGTCCAGAAGGCAGGTTACCCTGGAGTTACTCTGTGAAAAGCCACCAAACAAACCAACAAACCCAACTTTCCCACGTTTCTTAAGAAGGCTTTAATAACAGACTTCCACAGCAGGCTCCTCTCTCAAGCTACCAACAACTGCAGGTAAGAACATGGCCTCCTCTCTCTCTAGACCCATTCAACAGAAAAGCCTGCAGTCCTGTCATTTATAACAAAGACCAGCGTTCTTACTAACCACAGAAAGCAGAGAGCAAACCAAAAATCACAAACTAACCAGGGAATCAGAAAACCCGTAACCCTTTGAGGGATAAAATAAAATACAAGCATGTTCCTTTAATGTAGCCTAGTCAGTAGAAATGTCTTCAGTGTGTTGAGGGTGTGAGGGTGTGAACATAAACTGTGTGTTTAAAGCTTTTTGGCGCTTTTCCAAATATTTCAACTACTAATCCTGGAAGAATTTCCCTTTAAGGATGTCCTGCAGGGACTTGTTACTCATAATTTTAAGTCAAAGGAGTGATTTTCCAACCTCGTAGGAGCCAGCTATTTCACAAGACGTGGACGAAATGCAGGGACCCTCCCATTTTCTTGTACAAATTCAGGTTGGGAGGGACCTCGGGTAGCCCCAGCGGCTCATTCTGTCCCCTTTGAAGTGGTCAGACGTCTGTTCTAGAGGAAGAACACATCTTTTCACATATTCGCCTTCTTTCACGCATTTGAACCACACCAAGCAGCAGCTTTGAGAAAAAGTGAGTTTTCTGATGTTTCTTGTACATTTTGTTTGTGGGTTATTTGGACTTCTTAAGAAAAGCAGGGTGTTTTTTTTTTTTTTAACAATGAGAGGGGTTTGATAAACTTTCTAATGACTACTTACTAGGCAAGGGAGAATAAATCTTGGCATTTCTAGCCTAGAAACAAGTCAAGAGTTGGTGACTTTGATAGACTGAGCTTTTCAGATTTCTCAATTTGATGTGATGGTTGTGGAAGCCACGCAGCCAGCAGATAGTTCTCCAAAGCTGCCTCCTGCGCTCCTGAAACGGTCCCACTGCGTGGCTGCGTCGCCTTCAGGGTAAGCTGGATGGAATTTGGCTTGCTCTGTGAACAAATAACTATCACTGAGGGACTTTAGGACTGGACTTATATTCCTAGGGTTCATATATATTGAAAGATATGGTCACTTGTGGCAATTCTAAGAGCAAATATCCCCTATTTGTTTTATGGATCAATATGCCTCTTATTTTTATTATACATTTGATATATATATATATATGTAGAGAGAGAGCGAAATTCCTGCTATTTCCAAAAAATAAAAATCTGTTTATTTTTTAGTAGCAAGCATGCAGGCAATTCATAATATTAATTCTCCTGAGATCGCATTGAATGCCTGTGTCCAGCTCCCACATGCAGGGAAGGTACTCATCCGCTTGAAAATGAGAGCGGTTTGTTGAAGCAAAGGCGATCTTTCTCTCTCACTGTTTAAGTCAGACCCTCCTTGGTGTCTGTCACCCATCTGAAAACCAAATGCAGCTCCTTGCTTGCCAACTTGTGCTTCAGAAATGTGTGAACTAAAAGAATCATTAATAAAATGTGTAATTCTCAGATGTAAAGTTCTTGTAAGAAATTCTTCAAGTCACTTTAGGCGCATTTCACATTCACAACACTGTTGTGCACAAATTCTGGTGCTTTTAGTGACACCATAGATGGATTAAAATGTAGCACAAACATTGCAAACATGTATCATACAAGATATTTCTTCACATATGTGCTATGATATATTCCTAAAGCCATGATCAAAGTCGTTTGGTGTTCAGGAAGGTAAACTCTGATGTCTGTTTTCTACACTTGTTCTATTTATTCCATTTTATCGTGAATTGCCAGCTCTGAAGAGGAGGACTGGTGGTGGGGTGGTTATGCTGTGGACTTGGATCAGCAGTTCAAAACCACCAGTAGCTCTACAGGAGAAAGCCTAGGCTTTCTACTCCCGTAAACCGTTAGCCTTGGAAAGCCACAGGGGCCACTGTGAGTCAGTACTGACTTGGTGGCAGACTGTTCTGATCTGGTTTGGCCCGTTCTGAGACTGTTCTACCTGGATGAGACTAGCAGATCTGAGTTCTAATGTAACATGACCTCACCGGCAAGTTTCTCTCTTATTCCTAATGTGCTTGCCAACATCATGTTGAGGGAAGTTAGATTAATCTGGGTTCTTTAAGGAAGCCTAGTAACTATCTACTATTATATTGAAAGTTTAAGTGCTCAGCTAGGACAGTTTGAGAAGGTTTCAACCTTTGTATTGTTTTCAATCTAGTGAGCATGAATGGTTTAAAATCTGAGTCAGGTGTCAGTTAATCAAGCTTACATTTCCATGTCTTTTTATTTTTCTTCTTATTGCCATAATTTTTCATGGTCACTTTTTGATTCGTTGGTTATAAATCAAATCAAAGTAGCCTTTTCACGACTTCCCTGCTGCAGGACCACCTTCTTCCATGGTGGTATAGTGGGTTAAGGGTTGGGCTGCTGACTCTTAAGGTCAGTAGCTCGAAACTACTACCTTCCCCAGGCCAAAAATATGAGGCATTCTGTTCTCATGAAGATTCCCGGACCAAACCCATGGTCCTCAAGTTGAATCCCACTCACAGGACCATCACTGGACAGAGCAGACATGCTCCTGTGGGTTTCTACGACTCTACTGTTTACGGGAGGAGAAAGTCTCATCTTTTTCCCATGAAGAGGCTGGTAGTGGTTTCCAACTGCTGGCCTTGTGGTCAACAACTCCTCATAACTTATTATGCCACCAGGGCCACCTGGGAAACCCACAGGGGCAGCTCTCCTCTGCCTGATAAGGTCACTCTGAGTCCGGATTGACTGATGGCAGAGAGTGGGACTACACTGTCCACTTCTCCCCATAGGTTTGACACGAACTTGTATGTCACTAAGGACTCCAAGTTCACTACAGTTCTATTTTTCCTCCTCTTTTCAGCCGCTCAGACCAATATTTTGACTGAAGGGATACAAAAACCTAGAGGTCCCCTCCCCCATGGTGCAATTTTCATTCATTCGTTCATTCGTTTGTTTGTTTATTACTGTTAAACCCTCTATTTTATTTTTATTTTTGCTCCCCATCCCAACCATCCCTCCCCAAATTTGATTCTGCCAATCCCTTATTTGAAGCCTTGACACTGACTCACTATATTCTTAGGATCTAAAGTTCAATTTCTTGTCAGGGTGTGAAACCTTTTTTATAGGCCACAATGGAGCACCTCAAAAGTCCAGGGTTTTTTGTGTTTCTAACAAATTCCAAGATGGTGTGGATCTGGCTGCTCACATGGACTACATGTGGCCAATGTTTCCTCACATCACGCTGGCCCACGTTCCAGCCAGGCGTCCACCACAGACCACATGGGTGGACACAGAGAATTCACTCTCGGTCTAACTTTTTGTGTGGGGGACCCGGGGAGGTTTCTATAAAGGAAGACAATGATATACCTTCTCTTAAGTTTGATGTAAGAACTAAAGGAGTTGATATGTTAAAAAGTACTGGCACAGACAACGTGCGATTTCAGTGTTAGCCATTTGTTACAAGGCAAGGCCTTTTTCTATTTTCGCTACTGCACTGAAGTCCACCTCCACACATAAATCCACCCGCAGTCTCATCTTTGACTTCTCATTCGCCTTCAAAGCACACCTTGTTTCTAGAAATTTCCTGAAGTTCCCAGGCACCCTCTGAACACCTTCCAGAATTTCCACATTTTCTCTCTCCCTCCACCCTTTCTTTCCATCCACAAATCTTGACTGAGTGCTCAGTGTGTGCTGTGAATGCACGAGGCACCTGGGTCTGAGGTGGGCACAGCATCCCCTCTCGGAAGCTTACAGTTGAGCTGAAAACGCAAACCGATGTGTTGAGCATGACGACGACTGACAGCCGTGAGGGCATATCCGAATCTGGGAGGCGAGTGACGACAGAAGTAGAGAAATGCTGCATGTGAGTGTTTTTCATAGGTGGAGATCGGGTCTGACTTTCACGGTCAAGCACCACGGCTGGCCCAGAGTTGGCACTCGGGCACTCTCTGCGAAACCTGCAGCGTGGACATGCAGTGGGTCTGACAGTGTGAAAAACTAAAAAGAGCTAGAGAGAGGGCGGGAGAGAGCGAGAGCGAGAACAAGAGCGAGAGGCAGCGAATTGTAAAAGGTCTTTAAGCGGTATGCGTCTGAAGAGCTTGAAGTCTGGAAGTTGCAAAGGGTGGTGAGATTCCAGGACAAGTCCTAATGACTCTGGGTCAATCTTATTTCTAAAATGAGACGTCGTTGGTCTACTCTTCTGCATAGCTCTAGACCACTAAGATCCTATGGCCAGGCGTATGACTTCTTTCTTCTTGCATTTATTCAGCAAATACATCTCAGACTGTTTGAGTGCCAGGGTACTGTCCAGACAAGTCAGGAAAGGCCTCTGCTTTCACTGGGAGGTTTGTTGGTATTTCTAAAGAATTCACACATCGAGGAATAGTTAGGGTGCAAATTCACATAACACCAACTCCTAACCAATATTTATCAACCAATACTGTGAACATTTGGTTTCCTAGGAAAACTAACAGGTTTTCCCCTCCCTCTACTTTACATGCATAATGAGCATAAACACCCTGAGAGCCACGCATCCTGTCTCCGAGCTGTAAACCTGCGGCTGCTCAGTGGAGGCTGTGAGCGCTTGGAGGACACGCCTTTGCTCTGGCGATGCTGAGACCAACACTCCCTCCGGGACTTGGCAGAACAGATACAGATGAAAGCTAGCTTTAAATATCAAATGGTCACCTACCTCCACCAACAAATGTTTAAACATACATTTCAAAAGAGAAACTTTAAAGTACTGAGTAGTCTTATCACCAAAGTACAGGATGGAACTCCACCTGCATCTTTCACCTTCCAGTGGGAGAGAATATTCTGCTCTGGGCATAAATACTAGAAAGACCAGTTAACATCAACATCCGCTCCCCTCACCCAACCCACACAGACCACACACACACACACCCGGATCTTATTTTTTAGGCGAGGATACAGTAAAGAAAGCCAAGTATGGTTTTAGGCGTTTCTTCCAAGGCACCACAGTGATCCAATAAGAGGAATAATAAACAAAAGCCACCAGAAAATGTGTTCCC